GTCTGTCTCTCTGTGCACCTGTCCGTCTGTCCACCTGTCTTTCTGTCTCACCTTCCATCTCTCGGAGCACTTCTTGGAGAACTCGGCAAAGTTGACCGACTGCTCGGGGTTCTTCTTCCGATGTTCCTCTCGACACGTCTGGACGAAGAAGGCGTACGCGGACGTCTTCCCCTTCGGCTTGTTCACGTCTTTACGCATCATCCTGGCGCCTGGAGGACACACGGCAGAAGGAGGAGGAGAGTCGGCGCTGAGTGGCATTGACCAGAGCGTGTGATGTCACAGGAAGTAACCTGCCCCCACGTTACATCAACAACACTGAAGACATGTAAAGAAACAGCTGAACCAGCTTCTGGTACGAGACCAGACACCTGAGAACGCCGTCCTGAGCATCTAACGATCCATTCACCACATGACAACTCAACAAACAACGAAATAATCTGCAGATTGAATTATTGGAAACAATTACATTTTGCAAATAAAAGTCAAACTGTATGACTGCAACTGATGAATTTCAGTATTGATCAGATTGTCAGAGATCTTAGTTTTTGCTTCCGTTTGTCCACGATGAAACTTTAAAATGTTGAAAATGCTGAAAACCCAAAGACACTGAGTTTATGTGCAGTAAATCCTCCCAATACGAAGTCTGAAGGCAGCCGACGTTTGGATCACTACTACATACTAAACAAGAACCGGAGCAGACGGACAGCGGAGGAATGATTAGTGGCCGCTCGCACCAAAGAGTCAGAAACTATAGACGAGATCCATCCTCATACGCTTACGGCAGTGATTTACCGGCAGCAGCAGAGTCCCGTACGTCTGATGGACCTTCAGCCTGTGAATGAAACTGGTGACTGGACTGAATGCCTGCAGAAAGCACAGCTCACTGCTCACAGAGACGCCTTCGTTACCATCAGCTCACTGACGAGCTCCAGCTCATGATCAATCACTGTGATTGGTGTTTAATAGTCAGGCGTCCCCAAGAACAGCAGCAGATGGGTTTTTATTCTGCATACTGATTTACATGAGTAGTGTGTGAGGAGGACACCTGGTGGCCTTTAGTCACCACGATCAGTCCTGCTCACACG